CAGCACTGCTGTGTCTGATCCACTCAGAGAAACAAATGGACTACAGTCTGTAACTGTAGAACTACAAAGTGCACCTATATAGTAAGTGGATCTGACAAAATGGACAATGAGCATAGAAACAAGGAGGTGGTCATAATGTTACCCATGAGGGGTGTATTTTTTGGGACTTTTTTGGGACGCCTGCTCTGTTTGAATGCTGTGGGTAGTGCTATTTCACTTTTGTCTTAAGAGGTGGCACCGATCCTATAATAGGTATCATTTTCAGGCCGATATCAGCAGAAAATGCTGGATCGTATATCAGAGGGGAAAAAAATGAAATGAAAAAAAAAAAAATGAACCTGATCTTATCCTGAAATAGCACTCACTCACACTAGTTTCAGCATGATGGACTACTTTTAGAAAAAAAGTGGTATCATGCCATCTCTACCTTCCTCCCTCTCAGGTGGAGAAACACTAACACTACAGATAGAATACTAGCTTATACTGTATTGAAAATCATGATTTTTGATATTTTTTTTGCAAAAATATCAATCAACATTCACATAATAACCTACAATTTGTCTTATAATTTATTGCAGTTAACAATTTAATTATCTTTTCTTGTTCATTATGTGAATCTATTGAAGTACAAGCCAACAGTGGACAAACTGGCTTATTAGCCATCTTACTTTCTATCTATGTTTACTAATTAGCTTACATTGGTAGTGCTGTGGAATTGGATGCACATACACACCCACACACACACCCACATACACCCCCACACAGTATGAGGTTGTCTTCCGACAACAGCGATTTGCTATATTAGCTATATAGCTAACAAATAAACAAACAGTCCTCAGCGCTGCCCTCTAAGCGTGTTAGAGCACCAAGTTAGCAGCTACAACTTTTTTTTTCCATGATGTGTCTTAATGTATGTAGTATATGCAAGAACAACAAAAATCCTTTCCAAAATTTGGAACACCTGAAACTACATGAAATATTTAAAAATCAAAGCACCTTTTTAACAAAAAACAAAAGCACATCCTGCCCAATCTGGCAACCCTGAACAGGTTGCTGGTTCTCTCTGAACAGGAATGAACGGTGACATAGCTATAAATAGAATAATAATTTTGTGATTTACATGATTTACAGTGAAATGAAAAATGAGTCTTGTTAAATTAGTAACCTAAAGAGAGCTCAACAGGCTGCACCAGCAGATGTGGCAGCAGATGTGGCAGCAGGTTCGGGTTGTGAGGGAGAGAGGGTATCGCGGTTCCATCTTCCAGAACCATGACACCAGACCATGGACATTTGTACTGGGGTTTCAGTCTCAATGGTTACACCCTGACACTAAATGTTTACACATTGTCGGCGTAGGAACAAAACCTTCTCCATTTTCAGCATTTTTCATGGTTTTCCATGAAGAGTGTCATGATGAATGGACAGTGTAAAACTACTTTTAGGCAAAAAATCTTACGACAGTATTTTAAATAAAAAGTTTGCTTGTTGGAGATAGAAGGTTTTGATCCGACAGCTGTGAACCTGTAAAGAACAGACTTCCTCCCGCAGGTCCTCAGTGACGGGGCCTTTGATTAGTGCAGAAACAGTTAAAGTGGGATGTAAGCATGTTCTGTGATTAAGCCATGAGCAGCAGTGGGGGTCAACTGCTCTGAAGTCACATTAAGCGCTTATTAAAAGCATTTTCTAGCTCTAGTGAAGGGCAGGAATGTCAAGCATGTCCGAGCGACGCAGACGCCGCTGTGGTATACCAGAACCAACTCCACTCCCTCAGCGCCCTTCTCTCCTCCCATCGCCTCCCTCCGTCCCTCCCTCCTCCTCTATCTCTGTCTTTACTTTCACTTCAGTTCTGTTTTCCAGGTTTTTCCAAAACAAACTCACTTTTCTTTCAAGCTCTTCCTCTAAATGTCACCAGTCAAAACATTTCCTTATCTTATTCCAGTAATTCTGCATCATCAATTTTTCATTGCTGCTCACACTTTTAAAAAAAGGTGCTGAAAGGGTTCTTTGGAGTGATCCCATAAAATAACTACCTTTGGTTCCCTATATTTCTTCAAAAGAACCATTTCTGTAAATGAGGTATGAGTGTAAAGAACCCTTGTGAAGTTCTAAATCAAACCTTTAAAAAAAAAAAAGGTTCTAAAAAGTGTTCTCTGCAACTACGGCATAAAAGAACTACTTTTGGTTCCTGAATGAACTGTCAATGAATCATTCTCAAAGAAAACATTTCGTAATGAGATGTGTGTGAGTGAAGAACCTTCATAAACTTTAAAGAACCTCTACATAATAGAAAGGTTCTATGAAACACTCTTAAATTAAAAGGCGCTACATAGGTTCCTTCGAGTAATGGCATAGACGAACTACTTTTGGTTCCTTAAAGAACTGTCAATGGATCGTTCTCAAAAGAACCAATTTTGTATGTGTGAGTGTGAAGAACCTTCATAAACTTTAAAGAACCTCTGCATAATATAAAGGTTCTACAAAACACTCTTAAAATAAAAGGTGCTAAAAGGGTTATTTCGAGTGATGGCATAGAAGAACTACTTTTGGTTCCTTTAAGAAGTGTCAATGGAAGTTCCATTAAAGAACACTTTTGTAAATGACGTGTGAGTGTGAAGAACCTTTGTAAAGTTTAAAAACAGCTCACTCTTAAAAATAAGGGTGCTAAAAAAAACACTTTTGGTTCTGTAAAAACTTGCAATCGATAATTCTTGAAAGAACTATTTACATGAATCAGATACGTGAGTGTGAAGAAGCTTAGTTAACTTCCAAAAACAATTAAAGGTTCTAACACACAATCTTAAAAATAAAGGTGCTAAAAAGGGTTCTCTTCAGTGAAATAAATCAGATGATCCAAGCTGCTTCTTGTTAGTCCTGTAGAACTACTGAAGCGCTTCCTGTCTTAACACAGGCATGGCTAAATGAACAGCAGTGCTCCAGATACCAGCACATACTCATCTGAACATCAACAACTAAATGAAGTGCTACAAATGAACTGGTCAGAATCTAAAAGAAGCCACACTCACCTTCAGCTCCAGCCTGATTCAGCTCAACTCTATGAAGGAAATGTAGCAGCTAGTTCTGCTCTGTTTCCCTGCCAAAGATGTGTGGGTTAAACGGTAGTGAACAAGGTGCAAACGTAGTGTTTTAGTAACGAGACGTGAAATTTTTGAGGTAACCATTATAAACTTGCCTGGGAGGTGAGGCATTTCACACTTGCTCGAGAGTAGTAGCTGCAGTTTGTTGGTTACGACTACCCTGGCAAAGCGATTTCAAGAGCAACCAACAGGCAACTTTGTGTAAGAGCTCAATCGTGAAACATACGAGTTAAAAACAACACACAACACCTACGTGTTAAGGACAAGGCATACTTTGGACCTTCATTTATTTCATTTCCAATCAAAACAGCCAACAAGTTATTCATTTTTGAGGAGCTTCTGAGGAGATCAGATAAAGATAATCCACTCATACAAGGAAGTCAAAGGAAAATAAGTTAAAAAAAACAGGAGTTTCTAAAACTAAAGTTAAGAAAGTGATTAAAAGATACTTAGAAAATGGGCCTCCTAACAACCATGCAAGACTTTCTAGACCACCAAAATGTCCTCATCAGATAAGCAGCACTTAAAGCTTTCATCTCTGAGAGAGAGGAGAAAATCAAGCTCCACTCTTACTTCAGATCTGAAAAAATCCACAAGTGTTTCTGTCCATCCTTCCACTGTGAGAAGATGACTCAGCGCTGTGAGTCTGCGTAGTGCAACTCGGTCTGAAAGGATGTGAAGCTATCAAGAAGCTCTTACTGAGAAAAGGAAACAGACCCATCAAAATGAAGCTTCTGGTGTTCTCAAAACAACTGACTGACCACCCCAGAGTCTAGACCTCAATATCACTGATTGTGTTCGCGATTTCTTCGGTCGTGAGAAGCAGAAAATACAACAACTTCTAAGACTGAACATTAGAAGCCATAATAAAGGAAGAGAGTGCACACACTAACTACTGAACATTCAGATTTTATATTTAGCTGTTGAGGCTTCTGTGTAACTTTCTGTTAAATGATTTCTGCTTTTTTATCTGACGCAGAAAAACGAATAATTATTATTTAATAGTTTTGATTGGAATATAAATAAATGAAGAGTGATCTCTCACTTTTTCACAGTACTGTGTCTGCGGATGCCAACAAACCTCTGATGTCAGAACAAAACCTTGTATCTCCATTTTTGTTATTTTTCAGTTTTGGGCATAGTTTGCAATGCATGTTGCCCTTTATATTGCGTATAATTTTTATGATGAATGGACCAAAAGAAATGCCCCAAAATTACTTGGAAAGAAATCCGGTTCTATTGACTTACATTAAAAGTAAAGTATGTTTTTTCCTTCTCTTGTAAAGTTGTCGGTTTGGAGATAAAAGGTTTTCTTCCGACTGCAGCGATATAAATATTTATAAAACGCAGAAATTGAGACTAGATCTACCTGGATCAACATTCTGGAGAAATCTAACATTTATTTGTCCGGGGTTAGAAATAGAGTAAAATGAAGAAAAAGCAGGTATTTTAGCACAGTAACCCAGCAACACCTGACCATTACGCACTTCCAGAACACAAAAAAAAGCCATTAACATCAACAATGTCGAATGCTGATCCATTTTTATCTGCTGATACTGATGATTATGATATTATTTTGCCCATTAAGACAACACCTTAATTCTTCAAATGGATAAGTCTTTAAATGCCTTAAAAGAACCATTTCTGTAAATCTGAAAGAAACTTTTAAAGGTTTAAGAAACTCCACATAATGTAAAGGTTCTATGGGCTCTAGAAACCATACGTCCAGTCTAGGAGCCATTTAGGGACCTTTATTTTCCGAGTGTAGCAGCTGTAACTTATCAGTTTGAACTACTCTGTAAAGCCTTTATATCTGTAGTTGCTCCTCCAAGCCTCTCGTTTATTAACTGACAGACAGAGCGCGGTGTGAAGTGTTTAACCCAGCTGGGTCTGATCAGCACCTACATGCCAGAATGGTGGGCCTCTTCTTAGAGCGCATCTTCTTAAACTTCCCGCGTAAGTCGCTGGTCAGCAGCAGGTCTGCAGGCAGGCTGGCCATTCGATCCAGAATGACCCCATCCTGCTCTGCGGAGGAGTCCAGCTGCTCCGGGTCCGGCATGTCCGGCTGGCGCTGTGCCAACACTGTCCTTCAGCGCTTGCTCTTTGGGAGCATTGGGGTCGGTTCCAGCCCTCCTGCTTTATTTCTTCTCCCTCTTTCTCTCTCTCTTTTTCTGTTTTCACGCTCTTTCTTTCACTTCTCCTTGGAGAGAGAGTTGTGTCTTTATCCCGTGCGGTCGCTCATGAGGGTGTGCATGTTTTGTGTGTGTGTGTGTGTGTGTGTGTGTTTATATATGAGCGCTATGAAAAGATACAGGCTGGTGTGTTTTAACCCTCCCTGCACTTGTCAGGGCAGTTTAGCCAGTTACAGTGCTCCTCATAGAAATGGGCAGGTGGAGAATAACTGGGCCGTCCCCCTTTTAGCAGAGAGAGAGAGAGAGAGAGAGAGGGGTTGTGTTCTGTTCACAGGGAGGAAGTGTGGTCAGGCGGAGTGTATATAACTTTCAGAAACTCCCTCTAACTCGCAGCTATCACAAACAAGCCATTTCCTCAAGTCAGCTGAATTCCACACGGCTGAACTGAGCATGCCGTCTCCAACACACAGCACTACAGGCAGGACATTTAGATGTTTAACTTGAGCCAAGAACGTCAACTAGTATATCATTGTTTAATATCCAGATCTACCTACATACAGTACGGTTCACGTCAGAGACCACAATTCATTTATTTAGCTTCCTGTCAAATAAGCCATTTAGTACACGCTATTCATTTTTCAGCATTAGGTTAAGCAGAAAAGATATATTTACATTTCACAAAAGCCTCAACAACTAAATATAATATCATCTCCAAAGTTCAGTCATAGAAGTTGGCTGCATTTTTTGCCTTTCACAATACTAATACTTCCCAACCCATTAAATGATGTTGAGGTCTGGACTTTGGGGTGGCCAGTACAATAGGCCTACCATTCACCAACCATTCTCATTCATCAAACGTTCTTAAGAAGAAAATTTTTCTCAAAGCCCACTTCCGCAGTTTTTACAAAGAACCTGATATTCACCAATGTTTTCTTATTGGAGATTCATTCTTGGGGAAGAACAGAATCCACACACTCAAGAGCACAAAGGAGAGAACAATTCTGTGGTTTAAGAACACGTCATGAATCTGATGTAGACTTTATCTTAGGACCTTTCTCAAGAACACATTTAATAAAAAAATAGGAAGATATGGATGAATGAGGCCCATTGTTCTGAGAACACCAGCAGGTTCTTTGTTTAATTAGCAAATTTTCTTCTTTTCCTTATTTTCCATTCTGTTTGATTTTTTTTTTCTTTTTTGAATATCAATTATGGAAACTCTCGTTTTTCCACTTATTTTCCATTGACTTTCTCATTCTTTATGCAAGTGGATTAGCTCATATTTAATCTCCTTCGAAATATCTCCTAAAAAATCAATAACTTGTTCTGAACGGCTGTTTTGACTGGAAATTAAATAAATGAATGGTAGTCTCTGACCTTTGCACAGTACTGTGAACACTTGGTAATAGCCTATTATCCTGCCTAGTCTGTAGCATGAAAATCCAGATGCTTCACATAACTTAACAGAGCTATTGAGTCAACCAGTTTCACAACACAAGCAATAAAATAAGCTTTACTTTTATGATTGGTTAGCTCAATTCTGCCACTCTGGTTTTATTCCTTTGAACCACAGGCTTATTATATAGTTATTAATCTTAATGTCAGCCTGAATGGGAAATCAGATCGCATTTTCTTTCTGTATTGTAAGCAGTTTTCAAGATTTGACCTGATTCATTCTATTTACACTTCTCACTGAAATACGTCCCTAGAGCGACCAGATGAGATGAGACTAAAATTTACCTTCCTATGTAAAACCACATCAACAATGTTTTACTTCCAGTAACCTCCTGTAAACATGGTTTCTCACCTTCCTGTCTCCTGTTGGACACAGTGATATCACTGTTTTTGTGATTTCACAAAAACCAACACATTTACATCCATCTGCTTACTCAGCCTACAGCAGTCCAGCTCTGGCCATTCACACTGAAGTTATAAGGAGTGTTTCAGCCCGGACTGCTTGTAGAATGAGGCACAATACAGTACAGCCAATGAGAACAGAGGTAATTTACATATATCAGTCTTAAAGGCACAGTAACAAAAACATCCTGTTTAATTCTAAGAGATAAAACATGAACTATGACTGTTTTCAGTACATAAACCCACACAAGAGTCATAACTGGATAAAACATAAGAAAAATGTTGTAAAAGCATTTTTGAATCTAACTGAAAAATCCTGCAGGTCTGTTAGGCTCATCTAATCTTTCACTCTTTCTGTTTTGGAAAGACTGTCAAGGTAAGCATCTTCCCCAAACTCAGCAGGAAGCCCTACAGGCTCTGCTGCTACTTCCACAATAACAGCTCATAACTGGCCCGTATTTGCTGTTTAGAGGCAGGATCACAACAGGAGTTCATACTGACTCACATACACGCACATGCACTGAAAACAGATCTTCTTTAGGTCCTGGAGGTTACTGCATAATTGTGTACACTCATAAATAAAGACAGAGGCATTCCTGTAAACGCTTTCTGCCACTTTCCATCTGCGTTTCCAAACGAGACAAAAGTGGCCCACACCTCAATGAAAGAGTTTTTCCACAGCTGACCCACATGAGCAATACAAGCGCACTGTGTGTGTACTTAAAGGCGTTTTCTGTTTTAGAAAGCTCTCCAGGCTGCTGGAGAAAAGACGCACTGTATGCCAGGAAAACCACTTTCTAATGGCTGTTCACACCTGAGCGCTTCTATTTTTAGTATCTGGTTATTTTCCATCATAACTGAGTCAATCAACTGTGCTGTACAATTAAGAGGGTCTGAACACAGCAACAAGAGGGTCTGAACACAGAGGGTACTGTTATTCTAAAATAAGCATATACAATGTCCACTTAAATTGAATCACTATAACTTCTTTCAGTGAAGTAACAGAAGAGGAGCAGTAGGCCTTTTCTGAAATTACTGTCACAGATCTTTACAAACACATATTAAAGTCAACCTGAAATCAAAACTGAATTTTTACCTTTAGTTTTCTTTTCCATAATCTTCCACAAAAACGTAATGACTTTTGCTCCACCTCTAAAATATCTTCTGATGTTTGTTTTACATCACCGTGGACAAAATAATATTAACCAATAATATAAATTCACCTTGCCCACTAGAGATCTGCACGGGAGAGTTTTCTCAATCCCGCCCCCACCCGCACAGTTCCATCAAGGTGACCTGACATCCTGTATCTGACACAGTCTATTCACAAATACATTATTCTCTGCTGACGTCATGGTCATCAGCTCACTGTGAGGTAACCTCACCAAATGGCATTTATTCATTTATATGTAACAATAGCAGAACCTTTTTGGTGCTATATAGAATCCTTTTCAACAAGGTTGTATATAGAACCACATACAACACATTCTTAATCATTCTGAAGAACCGTTTCACGATGCAAAGAACCCTTTAATCATGCAAAGGGTTCTTTGAGTGTTCATGTTTCTATTCAGAACAATTTTCTTTACTTAAAAGCGATTCACATGAACATTTAGATTTTACGTGCATTGAAAGTTTGTAAAACGCATTTTACATTTTATTTAAAGATTATAACAGACATTAACATTCATTCAACTTTGTATGTAGCGTTTTTACAGTGATTCTTTCAGTAAAGAGTCCACTGAAACCTGGTTAGACTACGGCTTATATTCACAGTCAGTGACGTATATACGACTTCCAGAAGTGACTTTTATTATTTCTTGAAAATTTTCCCACCTATTGTAAATCAGAACATGGTTGGTTGAGTTTTTCGTCACTGTTCTAATTATGGTGGTAGTTTTCTAACATGTAAGGCCTTCAGTTCAGCTCCTAAAGTCCTAACCAATGGGCGAGCTCACTTGGTTGTATCTACCGAGATACCACTGAGAAAAAAAAACTTGATTGGATAATTTTTTTGTTGTGTGTCCTAAGAATTTCAACACAATGCAATAATAAGGCTTGCGCTACAATGCAGAGTTTATACAACAACAGGATGACTATAAACTGAAAAGAAATAATTAGGCCTTTCTGAGTGCCCCATTGGAAATATGTCATGGTAGGGAAGGAAAGTGCATGTTATGCATGCAATGATTTCATGTTGACAAGCTGACTGAGCTCTAATGAGGAATCGGTATTCACTCAGAGTGTCATTCCTCCACAGTTCGGCTAAGCGTTTGGTACATCACTGAACGAGAAAGACTGGTCGCACATCTTTCTGATTGTTTTATAAACCAGTGTAGTCACCTCCACAGGGTGTGTGTGTGTTTGTGTGTGTGTATGCAAACCTAATATAGGTCAGCTTTGCCAAACTGCACACTCAGCATGCCTGGGAGAAAAATACCAACAGAACCAAATACATGAATGTAAACAACTTCAGAGAACACACACACATCTCCGTATCCAGAAGAGTGAAGCAAAGTAAAAATAAAAGTGTGACCACAATCTTGCAAATTCTTAATAGCTAATAAAAATTATTCCAGTCCAATAATAATAGTCTAGTTACTGTGTGAAATGTAGCTGGAGGTCAGATGTCATCAGCACCACAAACATTAAGCTGTGGATATACAGCATTTTCTCTCTGACCTCCTCTGTTGACTTTGATAAATGGCTGTTTTATAATGAAAGAGAATAAAAGGCTGGTTTAATTTCCATCAACAGCACAAGACACATACACACCCAGATGGTCAGTTCAGGTCCACGTCCAAGGTTCATTTCCTTTTTTTTTCTTCTTTTTTTCGATTCCTATTTAACACTTTTTATACAGTTGTGTTTCTGTGTTTCTTTGTGAAGTGACCATAAAAGGCATTATCTAAACAAAACATTGCTATTTTTGTTATTGTCATAACAATTGTTAGGTCTAGGTCGAGTATGAAGTATGAGTATGAATATGTAGCAATGGAAACATGAAAACACAAAGACACACACTATATCTAGTATAGATAGATAGAGAGAGAGAGATAGAGAGAGAGAGAGAGAGAGAGAGAGAGAGAGAGAAACCTACATATGTTATTTCTCTACAAATTAGTTTAGTTTATTATGTTTATGTTTCTATTTTGCTTGTTTGTTTGTTTAATTTCTATTCCTGTATTACACTTTTATATTTTTGTAGTTGTATTCATGTTACTTTATATAGGATCTTTAAAGCATTACGTAAACATTATTATTATTATTATCATTATTATTATCATGGGCCGCACGGTGGCGCAGTGGGTAGCGCTCTTGCCTCACAGCGAGAATGGCCTGGGTTTGATTCCTGGCCGGGCGACCAGGGTCCTTTCTGTGTGGAGTTTGCATGTTCTCCCTGTGTCTGTGTAGGTTTCCTCCCACAGTCCAAAAACATGCAGTTAAGCTAATTGGACTTGCTAAATTGCCCCTAGGTGTGAGTGAATGTGTCTGTCTGTCTGCCTGCCCTGTGATAGACTGGCGACCTGTCCAGGGTGTATCCTGCCTTTCGCCCAATGACAGCTGGGATAGGCTCCACCACCCCACCGCGACCCAGAAGGATAAGCGGTTTAGATGATGAATGTATTATTATCATTATTATTGGTGGTGGTGGTGTTTTTACAGCTCTAGGTCAAATTAGTAACACTTTAATTTTTATTGTCTTCAGCTAACATTCAGCTAAATATCTCTGAAATGCACTGAACTCCAAATTAAATGTAACAGATTCCAACCCTAAACCTAAACCTGACATTCACTTCTACCCAAAACCTAATCCTAAACTATTTTGTTAACAACTAAAGCATCTGTAGATCTTCTACCCAAATGCAAAAAGCACAACCTACCGTGACAGTAGTCTGTAGTTTACTTCTACAGCATATAAAACCTCTCTGAATTTAAACTGACTTTTTCTTGTTATTTATAGCAACATAAGACCAAAAAGACTGCAGACATCTTGACTCCGATCTTCTGTGTCTCACCTCAGCTCAGATACTGTAGTCTCTGCTAATCAGGAAGCTTAGTCTGTGTATTAATGAAACAGCCAAAGCACTGATGAATGTTTGGAGATGCAACAGGGAATGACCAATACAAACAAGTCCACTGCTACTGTCCACAACATCCGTTACA